AGAGAAGTCTTTTAACAAGTTAGCTTCAACAACACGACCAATGAAGAATCTGTTAACAAGTTAGCTTCAACAACACGACTAATGAAGAATGAAAGTTAAGATGACTATTTAGGCCTTTAAAACTTAAATAAAAATCTGAATCCACCCCAAAATTATTTTCTACTTGTATCCTAATATTATTATTCTTCTGCCTTTTGTATGAGATAGAAGTGTTAACAGAGAAGCGAGAATCTTGTTTTTAGGTTTGTAGGCTGGTGGTGTGAAAGCATGCAAATTCTAACTGGACTTGGTCATTCGATTATAAATTCCATATGTAATTCTCCACAGGGTTTGCTAATTCATTTTTCATGCACAGTGTATTGAATAGCTTGTATTTAGATTAAGTACTCTTTACACCAATATTATTTTTAATTAAGGAATTAACACCACTTGAAACCCATATTTACTATCTAAACAACCCCCACAAACTCAATTCAAAATGTAAATTTATTTTTGCACTCATTTAGTAAATAAAATCCTAAAAATCCATCTTTCTCAAATTCGTGAATTGAAACCCCCGAGGACTCTAGTTTTGTTAGGTTAATTCTAAAATGCTTTTTTGATTGAGTGACTAACATGGATTTGTAATAGTTGAAGACCTTCCAAACTTTTTTGTGATGTCTGCCTTTACCATTGTAACTTATTTTATTCTCAAAACAAAGAAAAATGACGACTTTTGAAGAGGTTTTACAAATTTATTGTTGCTTACAAATTGGGAAGAGAAGTCTTTTAACAAGTTAGCTTCAACAACATGACCAATGAAGAATTTGTTAACAGGTTAGCTTCAACAACACGACTAATGAAGAATGAAAGTTAAGCTATTTAGGCCTTAAAAAGAGTTTAAAAACTAAATAAAAATCTGAATCCACCTGAAAATTATTTTCTACATGTATCCTAATATTATTATTCTTCAGCCTTTTGTATGAGATAGAAGTGTTAAAAGAGAAGCAAGAATCTTGTTTTTAGTCCGACACTGCATCAAAAGCTTTATTAAGTTAGTTCAGCTTAGTCTATTCTAAGCCAGTTTATCTTAATCTCTAAAGCTAGTCCAAAGTAACAAACACACCTTTACATTATTAATAATCACATGTTCCATGGCCAATTGTCAAGCTTTACCAACATGATTGCATGACTTTTTGATGTTTATCAACCATGACAATGAAATCAGCTTCAAAATCATCCATAATCAAAGGTAACAAATAAATGACAATTTGTCCTTCTTTTCCAAAATTGACCTCCAATTCAAGATGACCGGACTTATCAACGGTTTCACACAGTAATAGTTAAGTAATATTTGTGTTCACTATCATTATGTGATGGTGATACTTATTACCTTTTTATCACCATTAGATGAATTTAAATTTCGAGATACGTGTAGTAGATATACGCAAATATTAAAATTTAAACTCATTTGACGATAATAAGTAGGGTGGTAGCATTACTACCACTTGATGGTGGTGAGCTATGACAGAGTCAAGATTTTACGCCCAGGCCCAGTGTGGGATAGGCAACCGTTTGGGGCCCAAAAAAATGTAGGAGCACCAAAATTAGTTGGGTGTTATATTCATGTATGTTTGCATAGGAGTATAAATTTATAAAATTTGGTTAAATGACCAAGAAGTTCAACTAGAACTACTGGTTCATGTTGGTTAAAATTAAGAAGAAGGTCTTGGGTTCAAAATGTTATGCGTGTTTATTTATTTTTCAATCTTTTATGAATTTCATAAGAATATAAATTTATAAAATTTGGTAAAATGATCAGCATGAAGTGGTGATTTATGTTATTTAAAATTAACGTGGAGGTCCGGGTTCAAAACGCTATGTGCTTTTTTTTACGTTCTAATTTTTACAAATTTCTTTTCATAAGAATATAAATTTATAAATTTCGTTAAATGATCAAGAAGAAGTTTTATAAGAAACAATGGTTTCTGTTGTTTAAAATTAACGAAAGGTCTAGAGCCTTGAGTTCAAAATGCTATGTGCTTTTTTATTCTTTCCAATTTTTACGAATTTCTATTTGATTATTGATTTCTCTTTAATTACTAGTTAGTAGCTATGAGGGTTGTAGTTTTTAGACATTCATTCCAATTCAAGTTAAATCTTCAACAAAGAGTTATGTGTATACCAAATTTGCAAACCATATGACATGTCACCAATAGTAAATAAACACATTTATCGAAATTTTACATGTGAAAACAAATAATTTTTCTTAAATGAAGTTAGGGCACATTTTTTGGTTCGCCCCGAACCTAAAAAATCTTAGGATTGACCCTAGTAGGGGTCTCACTGAAATGTTAAAAAATACATAAATAGATAATATTTACAAGAGAGTATAACTGTATAATACATGCTTGGAGTTATGAGCTAATTAATTTTTTTGATGCGCTAAATGCTTTTTTCTTTGTTGAAATTAACCTTCCAATATCAAGTCAAGATAGAGAGTAATTAATCAGAAATAAAATAGGATTATGAGAAATTGACCTTTCAATATCAAGTCAATGAAAAATGCTATGGAGATTATATTTTTTGACCATATTTTGGAGGCCCATGATGTTGTAATTGATGATTGGCTTCATTCTTTAATGATTCACATAAATAGTCCAGTCATTAACTGCTATCATCATGTGGTCTCAAAATATAGCTCAAGTAAATGGTATCCCTAACATCACTCTAAGTCAATATAGAATAGATTGGGAGTTTTCAAACAAAAAATGAGAAGAATGGATTGGGGATTGGAGAAGAAAATATATGAAATTTTAAAATTTAGTAAAAAGTTAAAAAAAGAGAGAAATTTACAAACCTTAATATGGTTGTGGGTGGGGAAATTGAAGGACATAATATAAGAAATTTCAAAAGTTACTGATTTGTTTATAAAATAAGATGATAAATTTAGTTTTAGGGTGAGTATTGTTGTATTGAAAAGAAAAAGAGATCTTTTTTTTTAAATTATTGGTGAATAGAATTTAAGAATTTTATGTAAACTAAAAGAAATATAATACTAAGTTTATAAAGAAAAAATGAACTTATAATACCAGTTACTTAGAAAGCTGAAAGAGTGAGGGTAGGCCTAGGCCAGTGCTGGTCATATAGTGTCTATGCCCCTGGTGGAAAGCAAATATACACCCTAAAAAGTATAGATTAAAATCTTTCTGGCATTGAAATCAACATTTCTTACCAAGAAAATGATGCATTCCAAATTAGAAATTCACATGTTCATTGTTTAATACGCAAAGCACCCATTAAAAACCAAAATAGTGAAGATATTTGGTACATAAGAACGTACGTGCATATTTTTTGAGGCAATAAGATTGAAGGGAGCCTATTTATTAAAGGATGATGACGGTCTGGTTTTGCAACAACCAGGCCTTACAAGAAATAATCTATATACATAGAGAGCTACTAGACCCACATCCATTGTCTTATTTTTCCACTCACGTTATAATCCCACCCACCTTTAAAAAGTTAAAAAAATTAAAATGCTATTTTGCCACCATCTATTATTCCGAAAATAACCTTTAATATATACGTACATATGAAATTATAAAATTGTCTCTTAAAAAATATAACAAATAATATGTAAATGAAAACCACTAAGGTCTGAAAATCAAATGGAAACGACAGAGGTATCCAAATTCAAAAGAATTTGACAACAAAAAATTTAAAAATACGATGGACAAATTCAAAAGACCTACACACAAATTATTCTTCTACGTTTTCAATGGAAACATAATCTTCTATGTCTTCCATAGAAGCGTCATCTTCTACATGTTCAATAAAAAAGTCATCTTCTAAGTCCATTGCTATTTGTTACTTTCTTTGGATGAAAGGAGATGAAAATATGAGTTAGGGTTTAAGGTAGACAAATCATGCCCAATTTTTTTTTTTTTTTTTAAATTAAGGAAACCAAGATAATTAATGTCCTTATCAGTTTTTTTTTGTAAATGGACAAATTTGTAATTAAAAAATTCATTAAAAGGTGGGTGGGAAGATAAGACATTGAGGTGGGAATAACATCACTCTATATATAAAGTGAGCACCCTAAAATTGTCACAACCCGTCCCGGAATTTTTAATTCCGAGGACGTGAAGTTACGAAAATGCCCTTAAACGGGACTAAGGGGCGTAAAGTTGGCATTGGTTTTTACTTGAAGTTCCTAAACTAATGTTAATTGGAATATTCATTAGTTTTAGGGACTTAAATTTAAGACTTAGAATTAGGTTTATATGTTATAACTTGATGATTTGGGGATTGGGTAGGACCCCACATTCCTCAAATCTCTCCCCCATTCCCGTACCTTGTCCCTCTCTCTCTCCTCCCTCACAAATCTCTCATTCTCTCTCAGTTCTCTCTCTCTTTTGAACTCACACAGACCGCCCACAAAACCACCCTAAAACTATACCAACGAAGGATCTAAGACCACCATCGTACTCCTGAGGACCACACGAACACGATGGTACCAATTTCAGGTGAGTTTCACTTCGGAAAACATGGATTTCAATTTCACTATGTGTGTGCACTGTTCATGCACACGTAAAACTTGATGTTTTTGGGATTTTGAAGCTTGTAGGAAGCTTGGTGAGGTCCTAAGGAAGCTCGGAGTGCTTCGTTTGAAGGAATTGGACATCGGGATCACGAACTGTAAGTTTGGCCGAATTTTCATATTTTTTGGAAAGTTTGATCCCGTTGTTTTTAGGCCCTAAAACTAGTCCAACGTGGTAGATTATGATTAGGGCTTCATTTTGGTATAAATTACGTGAAAAATGGACGTAAGAACACGGAGAACGACAAGTTCAAAGTTTGGCCGGAGCTTTCGAGGCTTTTTCTGGGGAATCCCCGCCGAGTTAGGGGTCAAGGCAGGTATGGATGTGTTCGTCTCGTCAATACCTTCATTTTGATATAAAGAACGTCGAAAATGGTTAAGAAATGAAGAAGTTATGACACTTTGAAATTTACCCAGAAATTCCGGCAAAACACCCACCTCCGGCGAAACCAGTCCGGCGACGCGAGGAAGAAGACGCGCGCGTGGGCAGCGCGTAGACAGGGCGCGTGAGAGCTCCAAATTTAGTTCTAAAAATTTTCACGTGTTCGTGACGTCGTGTAGATCACCGTGGTATATTCACATACCCAAATTGAGCAACGTATGAGAAAGTTATTGACGAATGTTTGTGTATGTGCGTTAAATAACGTCAATTTGGTTACTTTTTGTATAGGTGAAAATTATACAGAAGAAGAATGTAACCAATCTAGGGGAGGCTCAGGGACCTACGAGACGTCGAAGTGATCTGTGAGTGGGTAGTTTTGTTTTTCGTGTATATATATATATATATATATATATACACACTTGACGTTTTCCCAGAAATTGAAATATGAAATGAATGGCAATGCATGAAATGTTATGAAAGTAGGAATTGATATATGATGCATATATGTATGAATTGGTGCGGTGGACGCACATGTGAGTATCAGGTAAGTATTTATTGTTGTTATGATGATGTTGATATATGCTTAGAGAGCTCATAACCTGCACCCCCGGTGTTAGTGCTCCCGCCCTGAGCAGGGCCCAGTCCTTCACGTGATGTTCACCTCCCCGCACCTCATGCTCAGCTTGGATCCAAGCTAGGTGCACAGCCCTGTCGTACAGACCACATTAGGTGGTTCCGACTCGTAGGTGACCTGTGATTATTCGCCCAGCCTTCACGTGATCGTAGCACTAGAGCATATATATATACGTCACACCCAGTCCTGTCGTACAGACCACTTTAGGTGGTTCCGACTCGTGGGCAGGTTCAGTTGTTTAGTTATTGAGATTGAGATTTGAGCTCTAGATTCAGCCGTACAGGTCACTTTAGGTGACTCCAGCTGCCAGTAACATGTTATTGATATGGTTTATATCTGAGCACTTGCATATCATTATGAGGCTTTGATTGGCATACCTGTGAGTATGATTGGCATACCTATGAGTAGGATTGGCATACCTTGAGCTTGATTGACATATCTATACATACGTATATATGTTTATTTTCTGGGAAAGTATACAAGTTTTACGGAGAGGGGTTACCAAGTTTTTGAGAAGTGTTTGGATTTGGAAAAGATTTGTTTTACTGACCCACTCAATTTTGGTTTTGCGCCCCTCCAGGTTCAAGAATTGCAAAGGTGTGGTGACTAAGAGGAAATTCAACGGTGTTCTGACAGAATGGACCAAATGAGGACTCACCTTCGGGTGTTTCATCTTAGAAGTTGTATATTTTAAAGCTTCCGAACTGTGTAAATGGTTACGTCACTCTCACGTGACGGCCATCATGCCCTCCTTCGGGACGGGGTGTGTCAAAAATGGTGAAATGTTCAAAATACCATAAATTGCCCTTTAAGAATTTCATAAATTACAATTGAATCAAAAGAAGCTAAAGTATGTAACCATATTTTTATTTTGAATGAATTTAATATTGAAAATTATAGAAAAAAAAAAACAAAAACAAAAACAAAACCTCCCACGTTAGTGGATGGTTTCACGTCATTAATTCATTTTTTTTTAAAATAAGTTTTTAAAAATATGTAAATTAATCATTTAAATAAAAATATATAAAAAGATCAATTGCTACACTTGTATGCGTGTGGCAAAAGACTAGTTAATATATAGGTGAGAGATAACCACCGGTTGGTCAGAATTGAAGTCTGATTCTTCTAATTATTCTGTTATTTTGAACAAAAATAAGATTCTACGATTTTATTTTCCAAGAATTATTTAAACTGTAAAGTAAAAAAATCAATTAGCCTTGGATCTAATAGTAGTAGTCTTCACCTGATTTTCTATCCAAAAAAAAAAAAAGTCTTCACTTGTTAATTATATTTATCTACCTATATAACAGATTCTTTTTTTATAATCAACCTGTCACATATTAATGTGTCTTACTTGTAGGTATGTTATGTTTTTTCTACCTTTTAATTAGGTTTCATATCTCATGTATAGATATTATATACATTCATATATTTGTTACTTGAGTTAGGGTAGAATGTTTTGCAGATAAATAGTAGATTAGTTTTTTTTGTTACAAGATATGTGACATCCCACATCGCCCAGGGGTGATCCTTAAATGTATATTCCCATCCCTACTTAGCACGAGGCATTTTGGGAGCTCACTGGCTTCGGATTTCATAGGAACTCCGAAGTTAAGCGAGTAGCGCACGAGAGCACTCCCAGGATGGGTGACCCATTGGGAAGTTCTCGTGTGAGTTCCCAGAAACAAAACCGTGAGGGCGTGGTCGGAGCCCAAAGCGGACAATATCGTGCTACGGTGGTGGAGCGGGCCCGGGAAGTGGTCCCACCCGGGCCGGGATGTGACAATTTGGTATCAGAGCCTAACCCTGGTTGCGTGTGTGCCGACAAGGACGTCGGACCCCTAAGGGGGGTGGATTGTGACATCCCACATCGCCCAGGGGTGATCCTTAAATGTATATTCCCATCCCTACCTAGCACGAGGCCTTAGATGCAATGATAATATATTCTTTTCATGAGTCTTTATATTCTTTTCACATGGATGCAATGATAATATATTTTTATATAAGCTTGAGATTTGATTGTGGCATAACTTTATCCTATTTGCGTTGTCTCGTAAGCAACTTTTTTGATGAAGATGTTCTTTTTAGTTTGAAATAACAAATTTTGGACCAATCGAAGTGATTCTAATATTCAATGTCAATAAATAAAGTTAAAATTGTTAAAAAAAAAAATAATTAGAAGTGAACTTGACTTGATGCGTTGGCTCGTTTGTTGAACTGAGAGAGTTACTTGGAATGAAATCAATTCAACATATAAAGGGGAATGTTGAATGGTAAACGGTTGAATTGATTTTGTATATACATGTGTTCATATGCCAGGTGGTTAAATTCCGTTATTAACTTTTATGTGTTAAAATGTCATGTGTCTTAAGCTCATAAGTTGATAAGATGAATGGCTAGGATTGAAAGATGTGATGTTGTGACGTTGGAAGAGTGATTCGCTCTCATACACTCTTCACTTGAATTGTATGGAATAGTGGAGAGATTTTTAGTTGTGTGATGGGAATACAGGATGGTATATCATATGTCATTATACAAATGATGTGATATGTGTGTTAAAAAGTTAATAACTTAAAAAATAAAAATTTGCACCACTTATATAAAAATACGTGGTGTACCACTTGTGTTCCGATCACAGTAAAAAATTTCTCAGAATAGTGAGGTCATACGCTCTTTGCAAGTTTTCTGAAAATTCTCCTACACATTCTCTGCAACTTTCCTATCATTCTTAGTCCTCTTCTTCTTGATTCTGTGTACCTCATCCTCAATAGCTTACTGCTTCCATGTCAAAATTCTTTAGCAGATTCAAGTAGCAACAAGTTTGAAAGGCCAATTCCGATGTCTGTCTTTAATTTCCGTGAGCTCAAGATACTATACTTTCTTCGAACATCTTCAGTGGCTCCTTTCCTTTGTAATAACCTAGCCAAACTGTTCGTCATCAAAATGTAACATATACAGTGCTTTCGATGAGAATGGCATCGTCGCAATTTAAAATTTCCTGCATCTTGTTTGACAAGCAAAATCATAAGAAAAGAGAGAAAATTTGGAAAGACGTTAAGAAATGATATGGAGTATTTGAAGTTAACAACATACCTAGTGTAAAACCGAGTGCAATAGCATTCTGGAATTCATACTATCGACTTCACTTAGACTATCTCCAATGATGACTTATAACCTAAAATTTCCCTTTTTTTTCCCCCAAAATCCACTCCAACCCATTACTCAAAATTAACCTAAAACCTAAAACTCATTTGAGGGTCAAATACCAGCCCAGTTTTAAGCCACAAACCAAAATGGGCCCCACCAACTGAGATTGAAACTGGGGCTGTGAAGCCCAGTTCCCACTTCCGGACTCGCCCACGCGCTGCACGCGCGATCACTTTCAGCCAAACAACAACCCCACATAGGGCTGTTCCCTCATGTTTCAAAGCAAAAAGCAGCCTAACGGCTACTTTTTGTAATCCAATGGTGACGTTAAATGGGTCGTTGGTTAATCCAACGGTCCAGGTTCAAATTTTTTTTTATTTTTATATTTATGTATTTATTGAATCCAACGGCTTAGATCAAATATAATTAAATATAACGGTAAAAAAAAAAAAAAGATCTAACGGTTCAAATTTAAATCCAACGGCTAGAATAATTTTAAAAAATTATTTAACTTAAAATTCAACCAAAAACTCTATAAATACCTATGCATTTGTTCAAACATCCACACAAAACGCACTTTTCTCCTACAATTCTTCCAATTTTTCTTTATACCATTTATTCTCATTTCCAGAATTTTCAAGATGGCAAAAGAGCATGTTAGAGGTTGTAATTGGACCTTTGACGAAGATATTGCTTTATGTTTGGCATGGATTTCGATTAGTGAAGATGGTGCCGTCGGCACCAATCAAAATAGAAAGGTTTTATGGGGTAAAATCGTTGATAAGTTCCATGAAAACTCCAATGCCGGTCGAAGGGAAGTTGGTGGTGTTTATGATCGGTGGAAGATTATCAACAAAGCGTGCACTTTGTGGAAAGGAAGCTTGGAGAGAGCCATGGTTGACATGACTAGTGGAAGGGGCGCCTCAGAAATTGTGAGTTTATTTGTTGATATTTTAGTTGTCATGTACATAATAGTATTTTGCAACTAATGGTTTTTATATATTTGTTGCATAGGGTGACAAAGCAATGACAATTTACAAGACAAGAACTACACCAAAAAATCAAGCTTTTAAGTTGCATCATGCTTGGAACATCCTCAAGGATTGTACGAGGTGGGGAACCGATGCGAACCAACAATATGGAAGATTATTTCATAATGAAGCCCCACCCCCAAATGATGTTAATGAAGGTGTGAATTTTGCCGACAATGAAGGTGTTGAACAAATGACCCCAACTTCTTCTTTTGCAAGGCCCTCGGGTAGAGATAAGCAAAAGGAAGCAAAGAGAAAAGGGAAGTCCCAAGATCCGACACGTGCACAATTTGCTAGCGAAATGGCAATAATGAACAAAATCCAGTGCCGTCGGCAAGAAGAATCGGCCCAAATGCTTTTGGCCATGAAGGAAGAAGGGGATAGGGAGCAAGAAAGGTACGAAACTAATTTGATAATGGAGGACCTCGACAAATACACTCCAGAGAGGAAGAGATACTTACGTGGTAAGCAAAAGGAAATTTTACGAAGGAATGCCACAAGGAGTATATTTCAAGATGATGATTCATCTCAAGACTATTACCCAAGTCCATCACCAAGTCAAGATGGTGAATATCATTATTAAGTTTATGTAGTCTATTGAGTTTTTGATTGTATTAAGTTTATGTAGTTTATTAATTGTTTTTTTTATTTTTTAAGTTTATGTGGTTTATTAATTGTCTTTTTTATTTTTTAAATTTATGTGGTTTATTAAATATCGTTGGTATTAAGTTTATGTGGTTTATCTTGATTTTCATGTATTGATTTAGTGATTTTTCAAAATTTATTGGAATTTAAATATTTATAGGTTAAAATGTTCATAAAATTAATTTAGGATAGTCTACATAAATTTTTTTTTAAAAAAAGTTAATTTAAAAAAAAATAGCCTTAATTCATTCTTTGATAATCTGGGGCTAAAATTTTAAACCAGAAGGGTTGGAGTAGAAAAGCTGTTTCTGGGCTAAAACCTAAATTTTCTGGGCTAAATATTTTTAAGTTTTAGGTCACCATTGGAGATGATTTTAATGGGATAAGTCTTTGTTGTTGTATGATTTGACAAGCGAAACAAGTAAAAAATATAAAAGAAAAGGTCGACATCATCTGTTACATAAGAGATATAATATTTCAAACCCTTATTTTCCTGCCCCATTTTTCTGGTTAATTAAAGACTTCGAAGTCAAGCTAACATCGAAAAATTTCATTAAGGTGTTTTCCACAAGATTATAGCCACCAGCCACCGTATCCATTAACAGCACCTAATTATCTTCCAGCAGTGTCTCTAAAAGTTTATCAAGATGAAAATTTTGCTCCATTTTTTTCTATTTTTAATGACTGTTAAGTTGATCCACCTCTGTATTAATGTCATCCCAGTTCACAGCCAATGTCTTCAAGATGAGAAACTTGCATTGCTCCATTTCAAACAAAGCCTTGTATTTGATCCTTCCACTTCCTCTAAGCTCGTATCGTGGAATTCAAGCATTGACTGCTGTTCTTGGGCTGGTCTTAGTTGCAGTGAAGGACGTGTCGTTGGTCTTGACATCAGTGGTGAATGTATCTCAGGCAACATTGGCAATTCAAGCAGCCTATTTAATCTTCAACATCTTCAAAGCCTCAATTTGGCCGACAATGAAGTTGGTCATGGCTCTCAAATTCCATCTGCAATTGGAAAGCTTACCGATTTGAGCTATCTAAACTTGTCTAATACTGCTTATTCCGGGCAAATTCCCATTGAGATCTCACATTTGACAAGGTTGGAAATTCTTGATTTAACTACCCCTTACTTTCCAGGAAATCCTTCACTGAATCTTGAGAGTCCGAATTTGAATGTGCTCATTCGGAAGTTTTCTGAATGTTGAACTTCATTTAGATGGCGTCAGGATATCAGAACAGGGGAGCAATTGGTGCCAAGTGATATCGTCTTCACTCCCAAACTTGAGAGTGTTGAGCTTGTCAGCTTGTAATCTTTCAGGCCCTATTAATAGTTCATTACTGAAGCTTCAATCACTCTCAGTTGTTCGGATAGAGAACAATAATCTGTCTACTCAAGTTCCGGAATTCTTCTCAAAGTTCAAAAATTTGACTTCCTTGCTCCTCATGAATTCTGGATTATATGGTACATTTCCAAAGAAGATCTTCCTCGTACCTACACTGCAGAGTATTGACTTATCTGGTAATCCGCAGCTTCAAAGATCCTTACCAGAATTTCCGAAGAGTGGATCTTTTCAATCCCTGGTTCTCAATGGGGCAAATTTTTCAGGCCAGTTGCTTCCAAACTCTATTGGCAACCTCAAACTGCTGTCCAACGTAGATGTTTCAACTTGCAATTTCATTGGGTCAATCCCGAGATCAATGGAAGACCTTACACAGTTGGTTTATTTGGACTTGTCGAGAAACCAGTTCAACGGTACAATTCCATCCTTCTGTATGGCTGTTGACGTTTTGATGTATATTTCATGAATAAAACTGTTACAAGATGCAGCATATATGGAAGAAGAAACAAGAAGAAAAGAGGAGGGAAGATGGCAGCTAATGCCAACATCATGATGACCTGCAATCCCTCTAAACTTAATCTATTATCCAGCTTTGGCTTTTACAGCAAGAAGAGCCGAAAGCAATGGATGAAAACAGTAGGTGAGAGGGAGGACCGAAGATAACAGCTAGGCAATGACACAAGCTGAGCTGTTTCTCCATCACCACTAGACACCACTTGTTATTCTTCTAATATTTAACCCTACTTTTAATAATGACATCCAATACTCCCCCTCAAGCTGGATCTAGTAGGTTGATGGATCCAAGCTTGGAGAGGAGTCTTTGAAACTGATGAGAAGCCAGAGGTTTGGTGAATATATCAGCCAGCTGATCGAAGCTTTTTACATAATGTGTCTGAATCACCTGCGACTGTACTTGTTCACGGACATAGTGACAGTCGACTTCAATATGCTTCGTCCTCTCGTGAAAGACGGGGTTTGATGCTATGTGCATGGTAGCCTGGTTGTCACAAAATAAGGTCATTGGTTGAGCTGTGAACACACCTAAGTCACATAAAAGTCCTTTTAGCCATATCAGCTCACACGCGGTTGAGGCCATTGCACGATATTCAGCTTCAGCACTTGATCTTGCGATGACAGTTTGTTTCTTGCTCTTCCACATGACCAGGTTTCCACCAACAAAGGTACAATAACCAGTGGTGGACTTGCGATCGATTACGTTTCCTGCCCAATCAGCATCATAGTACCCCATGATTTGAGTGTTGTCATTCTTTGCCATGAGGATGCCACGACCAACAGACCCTTTTAAGTAACGTAAGATTCTTTTGACAAGGTTCAGATGCTCGATGGTGGAAGAGTGCATGAACTGACTGGCAATACTTACTGAATGTGAGATATCTGGTCTGGTGTATAAGCTGATATCCAAGAGTGGCGTGCCTCCCAAGTCAAGCTTGAGCTTGCTATCAAGAGGGGTAAGTGCAGGCTTGGCATCACTCATATTGGCATCTTTAAGTAGGTCCATGACGTACTTTCGTTGATTAAGAAATAGTCCCTTGTAAGAAGATGCCATTTCGATTCCAAGAAAATACTTCAACACCCCAAGATCTTTAACCGCAAATTGTTGTTGAAGTGACTGTTTGAGTGTGGTGATTTCAGCAGCATTATCACCTGTAATTATTAAGTCATCCATATATATCAACACAACTAATTTGCTTGCAGCTCTTGTGCGAACAAATAATGATGAATCTGCATTACTCCTTTTGAAACCAATGCTATGAAGAACGGTACTTAGTTTTGCATACCAAGCACGTGGTGATTGCTTCAGTCCATAAATTGACTTATGTAACTTACACACCAAATTAGGCTCTTGGCTTTGAGGGTGTCCTGGTGGCAATCTCATATAGACTTCTTCTTCAAGATCACCATGTAGAAAGGCGTTCTTCACGTTCATTTGATACATAGACCAACCTTTATTGACGGCAACAGACAATAGAACCCTTACTGAGTTCATTTTTGCAACAGGAGCAAATATTTCCTTGTAATCCACCTCAAATGTTTGAGTGAATCCTCGAGCCACTAGCCTGGCTTTATGCCTCTCAATCGAACCATCAAAATTAAACTTAATCTTATAGATCCACTTACAGCCCACTGCCTTTTTTCCTTGTGGAAGTTTGGTGATGCTCCAGGTTTTGTGTTGGTCTAGTGCTTTGAGTTCATCTTTCATTGCTTCTTTCCACACAACTTGATTATTAGCCTCATAAAAGTTTTGAGGCTCACTGTGACTTGAAATGTTGTTAAGAAAGGCAGCATGAGATGGAGTTACCTTTTGATACGACACGCAATTTGAAATTGGATGCCTCGGTTTATATGTGACAAAATCTTGAAACCTTGTGGGAGGTTGTCTATCACGCCGAGGATTGCGTCGAGGTACTGGGAGGTTTGTCTCATCCTCGTTCAAATTGTCATCCACACCCTGAGGATTTTCTATGTTGCCGTTGTCATCATCATGCACCGAGTCATCATCATGCACAGAATTATCAGGATGAGTACCTTCATTATTGACTTTAATGGGAGGTGTAGAAGTACAGATTCTTGGTAGAGGAATTAGGTCTAAGATGCACTCCCCCTGACTTGTGGCTTCATGTGATTTGCTGAAAAAAGGGTTAGCTTTATGGAATCGTACATCTTTAGATACAATTATTTTTCTTAGTTAAGGATCATAGCACTTATATCCTTTTTGTGTTGATGAATAACCAAGAAAAATACATTTGAAAGCTCTAGGGTCCAACTTATCTCGATGGTGTGACTGTATATGACCAAAACAGACACAGCCAAAGACTCTAAGATGTGAAAGGTCGATTTTTCTTCCTTTCATGACTTCAAGTGGAGATTTAAACCCCAAGTACTCGGCTAGGAAGTCTATTGATGATGTACACAGCCGCCATGACTCCTTGTGACCAAAATCTCTTTGGTACGTTCATTTGTAACATTAATGCTCTCGTTTTTTCCAGAATGTCACGATTTTTCCTTTCAGCTACACCATTTTGTTGAGGTGTGCCGACACAACTTGTTTGATGCATGATACCATGCTTGCTCAAATATAATGACATGATATGGGACATATATTCGGTGCCATTGTCAGATCTTAAGGTTTGAATTTGAGAGGAAAAATGGTTCTTAACAAGATTGTGAAAATCCTTAAAAACTTCAATCACTTCACTCTTAGACTTTAAAAGGTACAACCATGTGTCTCTAGAGAAATCATCGACAAAAGTTACATAATACTTATAACCATCAAAAGATTCAAACGTTGGTCCACATACATCTGAGTGAACTAGTTCGAAAACTTTACTAGTCCTAGATAAGGATAAGGTAAAAGACAATCTGGTGGCTTTAGACAAATGACATGTTTCACACGAAATTAAATCATTCCCTAAGTTTGGAAACAAGGAAGACAAAACAGGTTGGGAAGGATGAGCTAAACGTTGATGCCACAATTGACTATCTTGGGATGGACTGGACTTGGCTTGAAATCCTCTAGGACTGCTTTTTGATATGTAATAGAGGCCATCTAGGTAAAACCCTTCACCAATCGTCTTCTTGGTGAGGCAATCCTGAAAAATGACATTGTGAGGAGAGAAAATGGCCAAACAATTTAAGGTATTGGTGATTTTTCCCACAGATAGAAGTTGAAATGGAAAAGAAGGAACAAATAAGGCTACTGACTCAATTTTGTCCGATATTAAGTTGATATTTCCCTTCCTTAAAACCTTAGAACTCTCACCATTGGCAGTTGAGACTTGAGACGGTTTTGAAAATTTTTCAAACTTGTGAAACTTAGAAACATGGTTGGTCATATGATCTGTGGCACCCGAATCAACAATCCACAAATCATGCATCATATTTACATTAAGAGCAGTTTTAAAAGCAGTCATGATACCTTGCATGTCATCTTGGGCCATGTGTTGTGTTTCTGTCAGAAATCCAGCAAACTTGCCTAGCAAAGCTATTGAATTTCCATCTTCAAAGCCGACCGTTTGGTCACTCTTAATCCTTTCTTGCTTGCTTTGAAGATACACTGCAAACTCATTTATGAGTGCAGCTGGATTTGCAGTGAAGCTCTTGAGTGCATCAAACCTATGAGAGGTTGAGGTAGTTGCATTGTTGGCTCTATGTGGTGCACAGTTCAGTCTTTGTGAGCCCTTGTTATCCTTCATGAACTCTGGCTTTAATTCTGGACGTAAAATCCAGCATGTCTCCTTAACGTGATCAGTATAGTTACAGTGTTGGCACTTTAAGTATGGATTCTTCACTTTGTATTTTCTTTCGTTGGCTAGATAAGCCCTTGCTTCAGTTACACTGGTCTTTGTGCCAGTGTTCATGACTTTCCTTCGTACTTCTTCACGTTGGATTGTTGCACATACGCTGGTGAAGGAAGGTAGTTCGGGGTTCATGAGTATGTGGCTTCGTAGGTCTTCGTATCCTGAATCGAGACTTGACAAGAGTTGGAATATCTTGTCTTCTTCTGCCCTTTTCAGTAGTAAAGACGCCTCAATTGTGTGAGGCCGATACATTTCCAGCTCATTCCACATGCTCTTCATGCTGCCTAGAAGTTGAACAAAGGGCTTTCCTTCTTGTTGTATGTTGGAAATGTTCTTCTTCATTTGAAACACACGTGCAGCATTGTTCTGGCTGCCATACATTTCCTTGACTGTCTCCCATAGTTTGAATGATGATTCAAAATAACTGAATATTTCAGCTAGTTTACGTTCCATGGAATTTAGGAGCCATGACATAACTAGCTGATCCTTGCAAAGCCAGATTTCATAAGTTGGTGAAGAAACATCAGGAACTTCGATGCTTCCATTTATGAACCCTAGCTTGGACCTTCCACCTAGGGCAAGACTCACTGCTCTCGACCAAGGTAAGTAATTAAACTCATTTAACAAGACCGAGCTTAATCTTTGATTTGGATTGACATCCACCTCAGACACGGTTGAGGAGGAAGGTATCTAGGAATTTTCATCTCCAAACGAATAAGAATTCTCTTCCGCCATGTCGGAGATGAAATACGATCAGCTGGAAGAAATGCAGAAGCAGGTTATTTTTCCTGCTCTGATACCATGTTGACATTTTGATGTATATTTCATGAATAAAACTGTTACAAGATGCAGCATATATGGAAGAAGAAACAAGAAGAAGAGAGGAGGGAAGATGGCAGCTAATGCCAACATCATGATGACCTGCAATCCCTCTAAACTTAATCTATTATCCAGCTTTGGCTTTTACAGCAAGAAGAGCCGAAAGCAATGGATGAAAACAGTAGGTGAGAGGGAGGACCGAAGATAACAGCTAGGCAATGACACAAGCTGAGCTGTTTCTCCATCACCACTAGACACCACTTGTTATTCTTCTAATATTTAACCCTACTTTTAATAATGACATCCAATAATGGCAAAGCATCTGACCATAATAAATCTTTCTTACAATCAGCTAACAGGTCAGATTAATTCCTCTCACTGGGAAAACCTTGCTAATATGGTGAAACTCGATTTGCGACACAATCTACTTGATGGGACAATTCCACCTTCTGTGTTTTCGCTTCCCTTGCTGCAAAAGTTACAGCTTTCCAACAATCACTTCTCTGGTCAGTTGCCTGAATTTGGAAATATTTGTACCCTATACAACCTTGAATTGAGCAGCAACAGTTTGGAAGGTCCTATACCTATGTCCATCTTTAATCTACAAGAGCTTAGAATACTCTCACTTTCTTCAAACAACTTCACCGGCTCTTTCCTTTTGAATGATATTCTGCAGCTGAAAAATCTCTCAAGTCTTGATCTTTCATGCAATAGCTTGTCTATTAATTACAATCACACCAATTCCTCTCATTCTTCATTTCCGAAAATTACCACATTGAAGTTAGCTTCTGGCAATTTGAGAAGAATCCCAGTTTTTTTTTGAGAAATCAGTCAACATTAAGCACTTTGGAGAATCAGTAATCTTGTTCAACTAAATCTTTCTTGCAACTGTCTGGTAACTCTACAAGGTCCTTTCCTCAATCTTACTTCTACGTTGTCTATGCTTGACCTTCATTCCAACCAGCTTCAGGGACAAATCCCAATGCTTCCACGATTGGCCACTTATTTGGATTACTCAAGAAATAATTTCAGCTCAAGCATTCCGGCTGACATTGGTGATTTCCTTACATACACCATGTTCTTCTCTTTTTCAAGAAACAAGTTAATGGAAGCATTCCAGAATCAAGGTGCAATAAACCATATCTTCAGGTTCTTGATTTGTCCAATAATTCTCTAAGTGGCCCGATTCCCCAGTGCTTGACTGCGATGAGTTGGACACTGGCAGTACTTAATTTAAGGGGAAACAAAATTTCTGGCACTCTTCCAGATAATTTTCCTCAGCCCTGCAGTCTACAAACTCTAGACCTCAATGGCAATGTGATTGGTAGTCAGTTCCCAAAATCTCTAGCCAATTGCACAATGTTAGAGGTGTTAAACCTGGGAAACAATCAGATAACAGATGTCTTTCCGTGCTTACTGAAGAGCATATCCAGCTTGCATGTACTTGTCTTGCACTGCAACAAACTTTATGATCGCATTGAATGCCTCAAGACCAACAGTGCCTGGACAAAGCTTCAAATTATTAACATAGCTCGCAATAATTTATTGGCGAAATACCAGGAAGTTTTTAGAAAACATGGCAAGCAATGATGGTTGACGAAGACGGTGCCATGTCAAAGATTAATCACCTCCGATTTCAAGTTCTACAGTTCGAGCAAGTGTACTATCAGGATGCTATAACAGTTACCAGTAAAGGTCTGCAAATGGAGTTGGTAAAGATTCTAACTGTTTTCACCTTGATTGACATCTCATGCAACAAGTTTAGTGGATCAATACCTGAGGATATGGGAGAACTGAAATCCCTCTATGGCCTCAACTTGTCCAGTAATGCTCTCACTGGCTCAATCCCATTGTCATTAGGCAACCTACGACAACTTGAATCGTTAGACCTTTTGGACAACAGATTGAGAGGAACAATTCCATCAAAGTTTTCCAAACTTAATTTCCTCTCATTCCTGGATCTCTCGAACAATCGACTAGTCGGGAAGATTCCAACCGGCACTCAGATTTAGTCTTTTTCAGCAGATTCCTTCGTAGGCAATAAAGGATTATATGGGCCACCGTTATCGCTAGGTAACATAGATGACGGATCAGCAAGGTTGTCACCGACATTAGAAGGCAAACATTCAAATCCTGCCCACGGAATTGAATGGGATCTGATTGGTGCTGAAGTTGGATTTATTGTTGGCTTTGGAATTGCTACTGGATCTCTTGCGTTTTGCAAGAGGTGGAGTAAATGGTATTATAAAACTACGTATAAAATCCTTGGTAAGATATTCCCTCAGCTGGAGGAAAGATTTGGCCCTCATCGAAGACATGTTCACATACACCAAAGCTGGACTGGTTGAAATGATTACGAAGAGCAGTACACCGTGCTCTGCAGTAACATTTTCCCTTTGAAATGTTTTGTATTATGAGTTGTGAAGTTCCAGCAAACGGGATTGAACCCTGTCGAAAGACACGGTTCGAGGCACAACCTTCTGTTAACTTGAGTCCTTAAGAATATATATTGTAAGAATCATTGTAGACATTGTAGGAGTCTTTTATTAGGAAGGAAATATGTTGTGTTTATAGTTTTCCTTGTAAGACAAGGTTTGTGTGTGTATATATTGTACAGCTTTGGTGAATAATAAATAAGAAAGTATTTTGGGTGTACAATTCTACTTAGCATCGAGAGCTAGGTCTAAAGAAAACCTAACGTACCACCGTGCCGCTGCTGCTAAGAATCTGCGGGGGCTATATTGTTTCTTCCCTTGCCGTTCCAACTTGCGAGGACTGTTTCCCTGCACTTACCGTGGGTACCTCAGGGCTGCCTCTGAGATGTTTTAGGGGCTTTGTGCCAAATTTATAAAAGGGCCATTCTTAAGACAATCTTAGAAAAAAAATTGAACAATGTATTAGTGCTAAAAAGCAAATACAGAAACAAACTTAAAAAATCACAATAATTATCGGTTTCTAAATATCATTAAATGTAAAGAAAGCTACAAAAATAATCATATTACTAAATAATCAACAACCAGTTCAATCTTAAGAAACAAATGAACAAAACTTAAAAAAGTCTAGCATTGAAGCTTCACTTAAAGATGCTTCTTCATGCATTCTTTGCTATAAAATCATCAATTAAACCTTCATAATCAATTTTGTCTATGAAACCACTTTCTATCAATATCAAAGCAAGTCCATCCAACCTTTCCTACAACATGGTTGATTGCAAGTATGCTTTTAATAATTTTAACTTTGTTAAACTTCTTTCCGTAGATGCAATCGTAACGGTACAATCAACAAAATTCTATATGCAATGCTTGTAGTCTGGAAACTACGCATTCTCTTCAAGTAGTTCAATATGTCAATGTTCTTCATTTCTTTCGGAAAACATTCTCGTAAAAGCTTAAACTCTACAAATAATGCATCCCCATCAACATTAAATAACTTAATTTTCTTGAGAAAGTTTTGAAGATGATCACAACAATCTTTCAATTTATCATTGTCCATCGAATTCAACCTTTCTGAAATGAACAAAAACCCAAATATATCATCATATGCTTAATATTCTTCAAACCTTATCTTTAGTGAACCAATAGCTTGACCTATTATATGTAAGAAGTAATGAACCCTAAAGGATTCCTCCACTGATTGTTCAGTTGATTGGGATGATTCATAATCATTCTCATCAAAGTGTCTTTTGCTACAAACTTGATGCTTTTCTGGAACCACGAAATCAATGTTCATTTCAACAAGAAGCTTTTTAGCATTAATTATGGCCTCTGCAAACTAGTTTCTCTATACTTTTCAAAATAAGCGATCAATCCTTGTACTTGTTCTATAGCAACATCAATGTGCATCTCTTTAGATTGCAAATCTTTGCTAACCTCATTATAGCAACCAATATTTTGTAACAAATACTTTATATATAGTTCTAGTTAAATACTTCAAAATTGAGACATGAAGTGATGAACAAAGATGTACTTGTATGGTGCGAAAATATCAAATTTAAGCCACAACGGAATGTTATGCGTCAAATGTTTCACTTTTGAAAAAAGACTAGAATCCTCGCAAATATAATATATGCATTATTGATTTGTCAAACTTATTAGCAATACAATACAGTTCTTTAATCACGGATAATAACCAACATGAAAGATAACAGTCATGGACTAAACCTTACAAATTGTAGAACCACCATAAAGGCATCACAACGAAAAGACTGCAATACCGTTTGATGATCTTGGAATCGTCAATAAACAAGCATTACTATGAGTTAGCTCCAACAAAAGTCGAGTTAATATCCTCTTCAAAGTCTTTTGTCATGCACATAAATCAAAAGAAAAAGAAAAATTACCATCTTACTCTGAAAATAGTCGCCGCTCAATGATCTTGAAGATGCTATGAGTACAAAAAAGTCCTAAATTTGAAGACTCATTTGACATCTCTCTTGGAACACAAAAAATCCTACATGGCACCTTAAATTTAATTTTATGAACTATCTTGAAAATGCTTTGAGTACACCATCTTACCAAACCGACTCCTTTTGGGATGCAATTCTAATACCCAAAACCGAACTAAAATTTTGGTATTTCCGAATTTCAGGATTCTCGAAATTGTTTCGGTTTTCCAGTTCGGGATCGGGAATGACTACAATCCTAATTTAGAAGATCGAATGAAGAACGCAGACCCCAAGTTCCAAATTTGCAGACAACCCCTAAAAAATCAGAGAGTCAACAATACAAAGATCGAAGAAGCCCTCGATCAAAATTCAAAAGCAGAAAGCCAAATACAAAGATATCAAGCAGTAATTGAAATTAGAGGATTTTCAAAACACAAATCCTAATTTTAATTCTAAATCCCCAAATTGAACGTTCAAAACCCTAATTCTTAATTTCAGAATCCAAATCGAAACCAAGGTACAATAATTTCATGAGTCTTGGCTCCTTCATATCAGGGAAGCTTCAATTTGGAGGTCGTTGGAGGTGGAACCATGGAAGCCTGGATCTGGAATATGGAGGAGTCATAGAAGTGTGGTGGTCGGATGTGTTGAGTCTGCTCACAGAGGGAGGAAGAGAAGAGTAGAGAGTGTAGAGACAATTCCAGAGATTAAAGAGAGCATGTTGACATAGCTGAGGAGATAAGGAGAGAAGGATCAGAAAGAGTGTGGAGATATTTGAGAGGTTAGAGGGAGTGAGGTCGTCTGAGTGAGAGAGAAAGAGTACTGACACATTTGAGAGATGGGAAAATTTATTTAAACTCATGTAACCTATTTTTACACCCAACTTACTTTTTGCACACATTTGATTTACTACCTAATATACCCCCATAAACCCAATTCAATATGTGGATTTATTTTTACACCTATAACTGTTGGTCTCTCCAGCCATCATGCTTTGTTTTTCAAGGTTAGCTTTCAGATTATCATCAGTTATTAGGACTTTTAGGCAATACTATTTCTGCAATTAGTATAACTAGTTGTGTATTGCCTATTGGTTCCATAACTATTGGTCTCTCCTGAGTTTAGTAAATCAATGCAAACTAGTGTACTACCTATTAGATCCATAATCGTTGGTATCTCCCGAGTTAAGTTATAGAACCATTGAATTTTGGCAATTAAAAGCTTCAATCATGATCTCTTCAAGCTGATAGATGAATATTGAATACCATTTCTTTAAAACTAAGACTTAAGATTGATTAATTACGCTATTTTCTTCTTTATCTTCCTCCTTGAAATTGAACTTATACAAAACAAGCAGGCATGTCTCCAGTTCTGCTTTCTTAAGCCAGAAATAATAATTTTTTTCAACAAAACCGATTCTAATAACAACTGTGAGCCTGTGACCAAAACCAGAGCCAGAAGCAAACCATATATCTAAAACTACTATAATCTACGGGGAAGAGATTTGAACTTAGGTACAAGAAGGTAGACGCAAAAAATTATAGTAAAATAACTTCTAAACTTTAAAAAATTGAAATCAAACGAACAAAAAAATTCATAAATTGAGTCATACCTTGGTTGGAGAATTCAAAACTTCAAAATCACCATCCATCAATAAAAAAACTTATTTTTCTCTATGAAAGTTATTAGGGTTTTAGTCAGAATGAAAGTAGGATAAACAAAGAGTGATCGTAGGGTTTAATTATAGTGTTTGAGTTTATTGATAAATTTGAGTTTTATTATTAATTTCATTTTGTACTTAATAGTAATTATGCAATAGGGTAAAATAGACAATTAATATTTAAAATTTAAGTTGGGTGTAAAAAGAGGTTACATGGGTTTAAATAAAATTTCCCTTGAGAGATTAGAGAGAGTGAGGTCTTTTACCCAACAATCTTAACCGAATCCAACGGTTACAATTTGTTCTAATATATATAATATGTGATAAATAAATGTATAATATGTATATAAATCGGTTCGAGATTACTAAACATCTGCCAACCAAGTCCCAATTCCTGTACCGAATCATTGGAATTTTTTTGGTATAGGTTACCAAACTTTTCGGGATTTTTTATTCTGGGATTTTTTGGTTTTGAATTCTGGATTTTTCGATTGGGTTTGGGTATTCAGAATTTTTTTTTGCAGCCCTACGTACATGAGATATGAATAGAGTCATAAAATAACAACGTCAATCTTTACATAAATTACTATTAGGGTGATTTAGTATAAAATCAATTAAAAGTTATGATATTAACAATAGGCCAATCAAATTTATTGGAATTATAAATAGGTCAATGAGACTTTAAGATACATTAAAACACCTCAATCAAATTAAAACTACAAATGATGCCATTATCATTTAAAACACTAAACATTTCCGTCTCCCTCATTGTAAATCGCTCATCAGCCATAAAACACTCTCAGACTTCAACGTCCACCGCTTCCCACCACCTTCAACCTCCATTTTTTGACCTCACAACACCTTCAACCTCCATTGCCTCCCACCACCTTCATCATCTGACGAACGATTCCAATGAACAATTCGCACTTGCACTGATTCCAACGAACAATTCGCACTTGCGAGTGAGA